CTCTCTCTCTCTCGCCCCCCCCCCCCCACATTGTGCCCTGTCGAGCTGGTTGGGCAGCACTTCTACAATGTTACTAACCACTGCAAGGGGGTGAGAGAGAGAGAGAGAGAGAACAAAGAGAACTTCTCCCAAACCAACGGAGCAGGGCACAATGTGGGGAAGAGAGAGAGAGACAGGGAGGGAGGGAGGGAGAGAGAGAGGGAGACAGAGAGAGGTGGGGGGTAACATGCCCACAATTACGACTAACACCGATCAACAACTTCAGAGTTCGCGTCATGGAAAACACCGCCATCTGTTTGACATTTTTAATGAAAGGAGACGCCAAACAAAACTGAAGCAACACGGAGAAAGCAGAGACTAGCCTCACACATTGTATTGGACTGCTTTTTTCTTTCACATCGTGTTCGATTTTTGTCTTCCTTCACAATCCTAGGCAAAAAAGAGAAGGGCAGAGAGCAAAAGCTAACGAAGAAAAGCAACCCAGAGCAGCAGCTGAGAAGAGCTCATGGAAAGGACATCCCTTGAATTTTCTCACACTGATGGCAGGACAAGACACCAAAAGTTTGAAAATCAGTTTCCCTGGGTCAGGCCTGCTGTGTGGTTCACCAAAGATATACAGTGGGCTATTGATACGTTTGAAAATCAGTTACCACTGTAGCTTTCGTTTACTACTGTACCGCTGCCATTTACAGTGGGCTATTGATACGCCTGTAACTTGCTGTTACCACTGTAATAACTTTTAGTTACCATTACCGTTGTTTGAGCTAACAGTTACCACTCTATGGCTGTCAGCTACATTTACGCCTGTAAATCACTGTCGCCACCGTTGAACTAGAAGTTACCACTGTATGGCTGTAAAATACAGTTACCACTGACCATTGAACTGACCACTAACACTTTACTACGGTAGCTCACAGTTACCACTGCACAACTGTTACTTACAGTTATCTATTATCAGCTGTAAGTTACCACAGTAGTTTACCATTAGCACAGTAACTGACTTTGGATAATGTTGGGCTTCACTGACCTTTAAATTCCGTCCACTGAATAAGATCTGGTAGGGAGGAGGTCCATACAACTCACACCATATGTGTCACAGCCGGCCACTCACCGTTAAGTTCTCAAGGAAAGAGCACCATCTTGGAGCTGGCCCAAGGGACGGAATGAAGTAGTTCTGCATTCGTGGGGAATCTAGCGCCACGAAGATCAGCCCGCTGTTCCCAACAACGCAGACGTCGTTGATGTCCCCTTCGCCGGGTTCGATGCTTGTGAAATTTGATCCCTGGGTAACGAATGAAAACAAGCGAGATAAAAACACACACCCATTGAAGAAAACAAGAAAAACAGAAAAAAAAAAAGAAAGAAGAAAGAAAAGAAGAAACAATGATAACAACAATCCAACCGATCACATTCTTGACAGTCCTTTTTTATGATTATGTTACTTTATTTATCGATATATATTTTTTTACAATCTGATGACACCCTAAATATAGCACCCATCAATCAATCGATAGACTGAAGTTCTCAGTTCAGCAGCTATATGATTGGCAGTAGATGGATGCACCAACTGGCCTGAGCTCGAACTCCATTTGACGCAGACAAGTAAAATACTACAGACCCAAATTCCGGAGGGCTGATCAATTTGATTTTTCTTCTTTTTTCTTCTTTTTTTTTTTTTTTTTTTTTTTTTTYTTTTTTTTTCCCTTTYTTCCCCCCTCTATCCAGGCCCTTTCATTATCAACAGATTTCAGTGTTCAGTTTGTTTTTGCATCGGTGTCCTCTCATCTCGGCCTGCTAATTTTTTTTACGCTTCCAAGTTTCAATTGCAAGGAAGATGAGCAATAGCAAACTTCAGCAATCAAACAGCATCATACATACTAGTCCAGATAGTCGTGACCTCGAACCAACAGCGGAATTGCATCACGAGATTCACCAAATAAGAACACACCAAGAGCTCATAATTGACAATGCTGAAATAGTCCCATCATCATCAACCAAGAACCAGAGTTGATATCCTATCTGGCGCTCGGCGCCCAGACTACATGTGGCAGATCCTATCTAGCCTATACTACRATGCCGAAGTTGACGACAACAGCTCTCCCRAAGTACGAGCATACAGCGACCAATGTCGCACGCTTCCAGCACCAGGTATGTCTCTCGCCTTACTCACAACCTTGTTCCCCAACACACAGATGCCACTTGCACCCAAGGACCACCCTGCGCCACACCCATCTTACAGCAGTGCAGCTCGGCTATGGCTGCCTGCTCCTTCCCTGCTCGCCCGTGAGCGCGTAGGCGCCAGCCAGCAAATAGCGCAGCAGCGCTTGCGCAGCATGCAGCCAGCACCCGAATGCCGAATGCGGAGGCAGGCCCTTTGCTATATCGAAGTGGCCTCCTGCGTCCAGTCCCACGAATCTTCCAGTAGGCCCCGGTAGCCTGAGGCCCAGCACGAACGAGAACAGGCCTTGGGCCTGAAGGGGTTGCATGCGCCCAACTGCCTTTGGCCTGTGTTCGGCCCAGTACCCGTATCCAGCCCAGGGCCTGCTTTCCATACATGGACACAGGCAGCCCAGGGCCTGGGTTCTCTCAACCAACTGGCGCTACGCAACTGCCTGAATTTCCTTGAGTTGCATGGTGCCCAAAACAGGGCCCTGAGGGCCTCGTCGAGCCTGCCTTCACTTAGGGCGGCCAACTTGCTTCAGAATGGGGCCAAAAAGGGGCTCATAGAGGCATTGGCCTCGCACAATGGTGGGTCTACTCAATTTTTTTGTGTTTTCAATTTTTTATGTGTGGTCTGAACGAGTTCTGGCTTTGCTGCTCAAAATTTTTGTCTAAATGTTTTGTGTTAATGCCGGTTACGGGTTACTAGCATAACAATCAATCCTCTTCTTTTTTTTTCGTTATTCAATTATTTTTTTAGTTCCTTTTTCACTTTTTAATTTGGAGCATATCTCGGTTCACGCATGTCATCCTTGAAAGCACAGGGGCCATGCTAATCTCGGTTCTCTGTATCTAACGATCATGTCGAGCACGAGAGACAAAGCAATCAAAATTAAATTTTCTGTTTGGGAATTGTTTTTACGAGAAACATGCTGCTTCAGTGTTTTCATTATGAAATCTGACGATTTTACTAAACAAATTTGATTTTTTAATTAACCAAGTTTAGTAAGTTTGAGAATAATGTTGCCTTTGTTAGGCCTGCAGTCCAAACCTAGAGAAAGCAGACACATGAAAAGGCATCCTCGTCTGCTGTCAGCAGTCGAACACTTTTTTTCTATTGTCGGGAACTGAACGAAGAGAGATGCAATTGCTTTCGCACCTTTCCCTGAGAAATTCCCATTCACGATTCGTGCTATTAATGAGGCCCTGATACGTAATGCCAGCCTCGTTGCCCGAATTGTAACCCAGGTTAAGCCGAGGTTACCGCCTGCGGGCCCTGAAACATAACGTCTGCCTCGTTTGTCCAAAAATTGAAACCCGGGTTTCATCAAAATGACCTCAACTAACCCTAAACCCTCAAGGCCAAAACCCGCTCCGTGAATCAGGCAGGCACTCATTTGTGTCCAGATTGTAACCCCGGTAAAGCCGAGGTTAACGCCTGTGGCGGACCCTGGAACACCAGGCAGGCCCTCCTTTTTTTGTCCGAATTGTAACAGGGGCTTGATCAAAATGACCTCGGCTAACGCTAAACCCTGAAGGCTAAAACCCTAAACCCTGAATAAGCTGAGGTTACCAGGCTACCGACTTCACCCGAATAAAACGCCCGGCCATTATCGCTGCATCCAGTCCGAAAGTTGGCCCAAATACAGCTATAACGACCGGACGTTCTCTTCGGGTGAAGACGGTAGACTTCTGACAAATCATGGCTCTTCCCAATCCAGAGCTGTGTGTCTGAGTCAGGCAGGTAGCTGAATCACAGGATATGCAAAATTAACATTTCTGGAGTCCAGACACATGTTACATACCGACAACGCAACACAAAGCAAAGAGTCTACCCATGCAACAATTCCTTCCTTAAAACTTCTCTCCCCCTCACCCTTCACTCCCCTGAAATTATCCTTCTTCCCCTCCCCCCCCCGTCCCCCCAACACAAAGCAAAGAGTCCATCCATGCAATAATTCCTTTCCCACCTCCTCTCCCCCTCACCCTTCCCCCCCCCCCCCCCCCCCCCCCCCCCCCCCCCCCCCCCCCCCCCCCTTCTCTCCCTCCCCTGATGCACCACTTTTCAGACACTTCAGCAGTCCTTATCTAACATCTGATGGAACCAAAAGAAAAGAAACTGACAACAGATTTGGGCCTAAGGGGCCCTTCTTTTTTCAATCAGAAGTTTGACGAGAATATGAAACAATCTTTTCTTTTTTTTCGCTCTTCTTTTTTTTTTTTTTTGAAAAACAGCATGCAATCGCTCTCCACCATTCAAGATGGATAACAAATGTCAACAAACAAAGCTAAGGGAAGATAATTTTTGAAAATGGCACCCCCTCTATTGCCCAATAAATTAATAAATTGTAAATTCTGATAATCAAATATTTGCATAGTTATTATTGGCCCATATTATTGGGGGGAAACAAACAAAAAAAAAAAACGGGAAGAAAAAATGAAAGAAGTATCACAATATCATGCTTACCGTTGCTGGATCCCAGATTCTGCAAACTCTTTTGTCTGAAGAAATAACGTAGCGAGTAGCGTTCGTGGGTGTGTTGTGGAATTTGATGTCAACAATTGGACTTCCATACCTGCAAGGATGCACCAAAAAAAGAGGATATCATTAAGTTGCATTAACGTATCAAATAATTACTTAAACCACCACTACCTCCGAGCCTGTTTTTGCCGACCCTGACTTTCACTGCGCACCGAGTTTTGCCGAGCCTGGGGTCCGTTGTGTTTCTTTTCTGGTACTCTTCTAAAAAAAAAAAAAAGAAAGCACGGCCAGACTTTCAAAAAAAGATGTACTCGCAACCACAAAAAAAAGAAAAAGAGAAAAAAAGAACACCCCTCTGGACGTGATATAAGGTACATACCTGCCCCAAAGTTGTTGTGCCCGTATGCCCTCAGAGAGGGCTTTATGGCAGGGGTGTCAGGTCCACAAAAAAAGACAAAAAGAAAAACAAATCGAAACTGAACTTAAGGCGGGAAAGCGGGTTCATACATCCTGCGAAGTTGTAGTGTGGGCATCCCCTCCTTCAGAAAGTGTCAGCAGCCCGTGGACTGCGCCGTGCCTCCATGGAAGGGCATAAAAAAAAAAAAAAAAAAAAAAAAAAAACACACAGTGGCAA